TAACTTGAAAAAGAAGTACTGCATTCAACTTAGAGGAAATTCTACTTTTTTTCTGTGTTCTACATATAACCAGCTAGGTGCAGAAGAGAAATGCAGTCATAAATTCAACTATAATAATTATATATCCATCCATCCATCCATCCATAATCTTTACCCGCTTATTCCATTCTGGGTCATGGGGGTCACTGGTGCCCATGTCCAGCAATCACTGTGCGAGGGGCGGGGTACACCCTGGATGGGTCGCAAGTCCATCACAGGGACACACAGAGACAAACGAGACAAACAACCATTCACTCTCCCACTCACACCTAGGGACAATTTAGAGTTACCAATCAGTCTAACATGCATGTTTTTGGTCTGTGGGAGGAAACTGGAGTACCTGGAGAAAACCCACGCATGCACGAAGAGAACATGCAAACTCCACCCAGAAAGGCCCCTGGACCGGGGTTTGAACCAAGGACCTGCTCGCTGAGAGGCAGCAGCTCTACCAGTTGTGCCACCGTGCTGCCCCAATAATTATATAATCAATTATAAATTACTAAAATGCACAAATGTGAAATAAAAGCACATCTGATTTGCAAGGTTATTAAATGCCTAAAATTTAGCCAAAATTCTATTTTTTTTAATGCTAAATCAATGCAATGCAATTTTTTTTTATTTTAATGTAATGTAATATAGCATATCATAAGATACTTGATTTTTAAAATGGTAAATTGAACATTCATTATCTTTTCTCATATCAATAATTTGACATTCACAGTGCTGATATATTCTAAATGTGTGTTAGATGATGATAATTTGCTTTTGCTGGCTTTGTAGTCTTGTATTTACTACAGACATTTATGGTGTTACAACTTTTCCTGCATCATCTGCCATCATGTGACATTTGATTTACTTCTTTTCCCTCCAACAGCTACAGAGGTTCATATTTAAATACACTTTCTTCTGACCAAAAGTAACAGAGAGGTGTCTGGCAGAAGTTGCAGAGTGTGTGAAAGTCCACGATTGCCCAGTGGCCAGTTGTTGTGGCGTTGACTCTTATTTGACACTCAATTGGTTCAAATAATACCATTACCATGTCTGCATGGCTAATGACCTCCCAGGAGCCATGACGCAGAGGGGGAACATGCGTTAGGCGTGTCGATTTGAGGTGAGAACACACATGAGCCAGGCTCAGGGCCCCGTCCACACCCAAATCAATCTTGACACCTCTTAAGAGGCTCTCAGCATCAATGGCACTCCAGCGCAATTATCCCCTTGGTAATGACATAAGCACCCAGTTCCTTCCTGCCTGCCTCTCTCTGGTGGAGTGGAGAGGTGCTCCTGCAGGCCAGTAGATGGGGATGTTGTGGACCAAGCAGGCCTCAAAGCTGTTGTTACTTGATCCCTTGTGGCTCTGGAGGGCTGCCTCTGACAGATGAGAAGGCACCGGAACACACTGGTGAGAAAGCAGCCCTTATCTGATCACAGATGCTGTGCCGAACCTGTCCTTCAGTCAGATTGAATTTGATGTCGCTCAGCAAGCTGTCAAGATAACCGGTTTCTCAGCAGCAACCAAAGAGGACTTCCTGCAAGAGCTTCAGGTTTTAATGATTAGTTATGATAACCTTGAAAAGTGCAGCTGGTGAACATATGATGTCCGGTCAGATTGGAGGTGATAACACAGAGATCCCAAGGGTCTGAGGGGAGAAGTTTTTAAAAAGGTCTCTTCGGAACTTTCCAGCTGTTTCTCTTGACAGCTCATCAACACAATCTTACATCAAACCAAACTTTACAGATAATTTACCTTTTAAAAAATGTGGGGGGGAGTAATTTTGGATAGTCAAGGATTTTTGATGGATCTGTCTTTGAGAATTGATTCATGTTCTGTCTTCATAAATGGAAATCTTGCTCTCTTGCTCATAGGCAATGATTAGAAATCATGAACCTTTGTGACTTGTGAAATGAATTAGTCTCAATTCCATGACAGCCAATTTGTTCATTTCAGTGAAGCTACAGCAGCTTCACATTCTTAATATTCCTATATGCAGAGGGTTCAGAAAGCATTTTTCAACATGCTGGGGTTCAATTTGTTCAAGTGACACATAAAATAAATTTAAAAAATCTATATTTTATTCATTTATGTAGATGGATAAAAATTCTTAATTTTTTGTTTCACTTAACCATGATTAACAATTTCTTGTGGGATCAAGCTCTATCTTATGTTATTCTTTTGATAAAGAGTAAGTCTACCCTTATTTACTATATAGACCAGTGCAAGATGGCCGCAGATCGGTGACCTGCGTTTTGCCAGGCTCCTGTCAGCCCTGCTGAAAAACTGCCTTTTATAATTATATCCTCACTGCCTCCACATTGGATTCTGCCTCTGGGATCGGTGTTGTTGCGTGATTGACTCGACGGAGCTGTAATATGGCCTCTAAGTTAAAGAAATATAAAGCGGCGGGGTCTTTGCCCACGCAGCCTGTGGACGCGGCTTCAGGCTCGGGTTGTGGTGAGAATGGAGCGGCAGGTGGAGCAGGTGCATCAGCCCCACCCTCGCCGGACTCTGGAGAGACGGTCAAGTCAGGTCTGAAGTCAGACATTCTGGTTCAATGAAATCTGAAGTCACAGCGATACTTAGGATGGAGATGAAGGCAGCTCTGACGGATCAGTTGAATTTTATTAGGAGTGAATTTCAGGCGGTCCGAGCGGAGCATGCTGGTGCCACCAAATTCAGAGCAGAGTTTGACCAAGTCAAGCTAAGTGTTTTAGAGGCTGAAAATGGGCTGTCGATATGCTCAGATGAGGTGGAGGCTCTGCGTGGGACCGTGGTGGAATTGGAAATGAGGTGGATGGGCTGAGAAAAAAAGCTTGAATCCATGGAAGGGAATATGAAACGGAACAATATTAAATTATTGGAGCTCCTGAAATGCCGGGCTTGTTCACCTCTACAGTGATAGTCACGATGCTAACAAGGTGCTGACGCTGGACAAGTCACCGTTGATTGACCTTGTACACTGGACGCCGGGCAGGAGAGGCTCGGATGATAAATCAAGAGTTATTGTGGCCAGGCTGCATTATTATCAAGATTGTGTTGAGATATTACAATGAGCACGCAGCGGTGGCCCGATCCACTTCAAAGAATCATCCATATTCATCACAGCAGATTACACCCTGGGCAACAGCAGCAGATGACATGTCCAAAGTTTTGTTCTCTGATGAAAGCACATTTTGCATTTCCTTTAGAAATCACGGTCCCAGAGTCTGGAGGAAGAGGAGGGGCACAGAATCCACGTTGTTTGAGGTCCAGTGTCAAGTTTCCACAGTCACTGATGGTTTGGGGCCATGTCTGCTGGTGCTGGTCCACTGTGTTTTCTCAGGTCCAAGGTCAACGCAGCAAAAGGAGTCCCAACTAAGTACTGAGTGTTGTACATGCTCATACTTTTCACTTGACCAACATTTCTAACAATAATTTTTTATTGGTTTTAAATAATATTTTAATTTTCTGAGATACTGAATTTGTGGTTTTCATTAGTTGTCAGTTATAATCATCAACATTAAAATAAATAAACATTTGAAATATATCAGTCTGTGTGTAATGAATGAATATAATATACAAGTTTCACGTTCTGAATGGAATTACTGAAATAAATCAAGTTTTTCATGATAATATAATTTTATGAGCAGCACCTGTGTAAGGTAAAGTTGTTGCAGGGCAGAACCGGCATACTGAACATTTTTAACATGTCCACTTTTTGCTTGAACAAACCCGACAAGCAAACAAAAACAACTCTGTGGGAAATCCATCTTTCAAATCATTGAAGTCAGTAATCAGATTTTCTACCTCTCTCTAGTAAAAATGCATCGAACAGGTTCATGTTTTCAGACTCTTGAGCAGGGGTCTGCAACCTGCGGCTCTGGAGCCACATGCGGCTCTTTGGTCCCTCTGCAGCGGCTCTTTCAAGTTCTGACCCAAACTGAAATAATGAAACTGAATTTTATTGGTTGTTGTAACAACAAATAAAAGGGCAGAGATTTATTGTAATTAGTTTGAATACTAGAAACATTACAAAGAGTAAAACATACTCACTTTCATTTTACGCTTTATTTATTCAAAGTAGGATATGTCTTTTTTCTACAGTTAAAAAATCACATAAGAATGAAGTTTAATGTTTTAGTTTTTAGAAACTGGGCAAAAACTTTTTTTTTCTTTACAAGAATCTCGTCTTTTATTTTGTCTTAGAGTGTAAAAAATATGAATAAATGTTAAACTCATTAGATATTTTTAGTTTTATAAAATCACCCTATTGTCCAGGACAGCACCTCCAACAAACCTGGAGGTCTGTGGGCCACCAGTTGAGACTCCCAGTTGTAGCAGGTGTTGTGGCTCCGGACACGGTTCATCAGTGACCCATGGGGCACAGATGGTTGTTTAGATCGTAAAGGTTGCAGACCCCTGCTCTTGAGTAAGGAATCCTCCTGGCTGTACTGGTCTAATGCAGCTGCAGTCCGTGTTTCCCAGATGAATGAATCCGTTCCTCCATTTGCCTCTTCAAGTCCAGTTTTATCACCTGCAGCACCCTCTGCTGGTCGTCTCCAGTCAATACATTGTATAGGTTTGATTTATTTACATGCTCTTGTAATCTGTCTTGGGGGGGGGGTACCTGAATGGGCGGGGCCGGCGGGCGGGCCCACCCTACCCTCTGGCGCCGGGTCTGTCTCAGGGCACTGTACAGAAACATTCACATCCTAAAAGTTGTCTCTCTAAGGAAGCTGCAGATTGTGTTGAATGTTCACTTTGTCACAGTCATGTGTTCACACGCTTTGATTTAATAATTAAATAATATTTTTGTATCATTCAGTTGTCAAATGTTGTCCTCCACAGTGAAGTGATGGTTCAGGTGTTTCTTAGGATTCCTCTCGAACAAGTCACTTCAAATCAACCACAGATTGTTCTCCTTTTGTCAGGATGCTCCTGGAAGTGGCCGTGTGTTCTCAGGCATCCAGCCAACTGGAGTGCCACATCTCGGCAATTACTTGGGTGCCCTGGAAAACTGGGTGTCTCTACAGAACCAGTACCCCTTAGTGCTGTACAGCATAGTAGACCTGCACTCCATTACCCAGCCTCAGGATCCAGCACAGCTCAGAAACAACATATTGGACATGGCTGCCAGTTTGTTGGCCTGTGGCATCAACCCAGAGAAGGTGATACTCTTCCAGCAGTCTCAGGTTGGTGGTGGTGGTGGGGGGGGGGGCAGAGCTGCCCGTCAGCTGTGCTTGTAGAACGCTGGAATTGAAATCCGTGCATGTAGCTGATGTGTTTTCGTTTGAAACTTGTAAATTAATTCCTCATGAAAAACTTTGGTCTGACAAAAAAAAATACTGTTTTCATGTCATTGCTACTACATTGAAATAATTACTAGTACGAAATACTAGATTTAATGGTGAAAGAATGACATAACTGTGATGTGTTCATTTATCTTTAAAGCTTCAGTTTGGAGTTAAGTGATAAATAAAAACATAAATCCATTTCCAAAAAAGTTCAATTTGGTCCTCTGGACATTCAAAAAAACAAAAAATAAAACAAAGCAAAAAAATGTAGAAACGTTTCGTCTCTCATCCAAGAGACTTCCTCAGTCTGAGGTGCTGTTTTCAGCTCAGTATCTGAAATAGCACCTTCTCAGAGTGGATCAACCAGTTTTGCTGCTGACAACCAGAACCAGCTGATCACATGCTCAAGAAGGACCATCAGCCTAACAATGGATCATTAGCACCTGATGGCTGTTTACTGTTCACAGAGGGCTGAGTGATACTAGCAATCACAGCATTGTAAGAGGGGGACAGTTGAACCTGTCCCTCCAACTGTCCCTCCAACTGTCCCTTCAACTGTCCCTCCAACTGTCCC